GACTAGTAAAGTCTAGGTGCACGAGGTAGCTTCTAGGTTCTGTGGCTGTCGTCTAAGCGTCGTTCGGGCGGTGCGTAGAGAATCCGGGTGCTTGAGATAGTACCCGGGTTCTGCGAGTAGGCCGAGATTCCATCAAGGAGCTATCNAAAGGGCGTTCAGCCCGTTACAGCACTCTCGATGGTGGAATACGTTAGTTATATTATAATAAATAGTTATAATAACCATTCTATATTTAAAAGTAAGCCCTTTAGAAAGAAGAAACTTATAAATTATCTTTAGTAAAGAAAGTATTATAAGCTTGTAAAAATTATATATAAATTATAAAAACTATTATTAGTAACTAATTATAGCTTTAGTTAAAATAGAATATATACTAAGATAGAAGTATAAATTCACTAATCATACGTAAAGTTAAGATGTTGCCTAGGATTAAGTTATAGAATTTTTAGAAGACCTAAAGGTATATCAGTAGTAGTAAGTAAGAGATTAATTATAATGAAAAGGTAGAGACGTAATATATATCTAATCGTAATAGAATAACTACTATAGCGGAACACTAGTAGCGCTTTCTACTAGAATAACGCTAACATCTATCGCACTACTTAGATATTCTTAGTATAGACACTTAAGCTCTTTAGATTATTATATATTTAATATCTCTCGCGTAAATTCTCTACTAACTTTATAAAACCGCATCTTAGTACTTATATCCTTAACACTCTCATCTTAACCTACCTTAGCGTGTATTTAAAGTATAGTATATCTACCTAAACGCTCGCTAACCTATAGAGTACTATAGAAAGCTTATATTCTAAGAACAATAATGCGCTTAATAAGGTGGCTGCGTTGCGGTAGTTATCTATGCTTCGTTGAGTATAACTACTAAGCAAAGACCGGCATTCGTGCTGTATAGAAGAGGCCTAGCCGTAATATAACAGCGTTAGTATTTAGCAAGCCTACATAGCTCACGTAACAATCAGCGGGCATGTGATATACCTATCGGCCGCGCCGCTAGCTTACAAAAGCGTACGGTACATCCCTAATCCGACTTAGGATTGGGAGCCGTGTCAAGACCCGTCAACCTAGCCAACGCGTTTCTAGAGCTATCTTGCATATTTCGAGACGCGGTCTAGGTACAATATCAAACTATACGGACTTTTCCTTTCAACGAAGTTAAATACGGGCCGACAATACCTAACCTCTACAAACACCTAACTTAACAAACACCAATGAACTATGAAAAGTAAGACATCCCACCAAGACTGCACCGCTAGAAATACAATAATCCAATTTGGCTGTCGCCACTCCGCAAAGAACTGTCTATATCCCACCCAAATAAGCCCATGCACTCCCGCTAGCACTAGCTTCCCTCCAATAGACACTCCAACCACGATCTGGCGCACTAAACGCGGAATGCGGGCCGCATCATATACGATCGATATCAGATACCCAGCCCAGAGGCTGAATGAGAGAACAAGGAAAAGAGAGGCGAAGTAGGGGAGTGTAGGGACTGTGTCAAGCGGTACCTAGAAAGATATTAGATCTAAGCGCCAGTGCAAGCTAGTTATTCAGCTTACCTTAGGCGCGGCTGTCCCGCTACGAGTCGCCCACACGGTAGCTGTAATAGCAGTCCCTGGGAATACTATTATACAGAGCACATCTAGGGTTGTTTGGCTTCTAAATTCTGCTCCGAGATGTGCTAACACCCTCTGGGAAGGCGCATACTGCGTCGCGGAGTCGTAGGAGGGCAGGAGCGGTGTTCTTGACATTGAAAATAGCAGTTTATGGGGATTGATAGAAGTGTGATTAGTATTGGTAGGGAGGTGAAGTTGAGAGAAACGATATCCGTGCCAAGGCTTAGCTTATTAAGCTAAGTCAGCTGCGCTGACACTCGCCGCAGGCGAGTGCCGACGCTCAATACGATATTACCATCAA